AAGTTTCATTCAGTTTTTGTAATGACAAGTTGACATTATTTGGGTTGTCTTGATTATGACAGCTTGACATTAATCAAAGTGACATTACCAGAAGATGTCTTTGTCATAACAAGTTGACATTAAATTTGTTTGGGATGTCCTTATATAATAAGGACATCCCAAACTAAGGCGGTCATGAAAGTTTATGACATGTACATAAAGTTTATGACAAGTTCATGACCCTGTCATGTCATAGTTATGACAGTGTTATGTCACTCTTATAGATACCTTCAAGTAAAGTGTTACCGGAAATTCTCTAAACAGTAGCTTTGGCTATACAAAAACTTACCTCATTCAGACTGCCACACTGCTCTGGGTCAGTATCCCTGTAGTTGTAGCAAATTTTTATTACTCCCAGCAAATCTATTTGTATCAAACCTTGTATTGAGTAAGTGTTACAACTATTGCAAATTTGCATTGCTGCTGGTATAAATAGTTTGGATGCAAAATATTCACAGGCGAGTATTTCACATTTTGGTGTTGTTGATTTGTCATGCTGGTGTGTAAGCCCATAAGACTGGAGTTTGTGTCACCCATACTATGTCCTCCAACAAGGCAGATGCTTACAGTAGCCATCCGGCTCTTGATTTGGGCAATGTAGGTTTTAGGTTTTTGGGTAAAATCTAACTGCAAAGTTCCCAATTGTTAAACAGAAGCAGTAAGCTTTTTTTCACTTTGAGACATTTTGGCTTGTCCTAGTGGGAAAAGCATAGGTGTTACTAATAACTTTAATGATGGCTCAGTTCTGTTCAAGTGTGCCAGCAAGCCATGATGGTAAACCAGCATGCGCAACACCAAGAGCCTAAAACTGAAGCAGTTAAATCAAATTCAGCCATCATTCATTTTCTTACACCTGTGCTTTTCTTACTTTGGCACTGTGAGCATATTCTGTGAAAAGGCTTACAGAACGTTATTACAGCAGAAATTTTAGGATGTAATAGTAGAAAATCCACAGAAGTAAGAATTAACATTATATGACTGCATTCCATTTAGGCGAGCTCGTTTCAGGGGTCTGATGTTGTGCATGCTGGTTTTCTGTCACAGCTTACAGCGACACTTAGATAGAAATAAGGCATTGTTAATGTTGTTAGCAGGACTTGTGTTTTTCTTACAATGACATGTGAAGTGTCTACTGTGAAAAAAGTCTATTCACTTTTGCTTCTTTTACTTTTGTTAATGATCCACATTGTTTAAAAAGTTGGTATTGACACCTGGTCTTTGTTCACCATGTGATGGAAGGTCTGGAAACCACTTTGTGTGTTTGAATGTTTGTTACGGAGAAGATTTGAGTGTGAAAATTCAACCTCTCTCAGACTGAAATTATTCACTGAAGCTTTATTGTCTTTATATTGTCATTGACGAGCCTATATTCTCTTTATACCTGGGTACTTTGAATGTACTTACTTTTAATGTTCAATTTTAAATGTAATATCCTTGAGTTTCATATATATGGCTGTTACATTAAGCCTCACAAACAAAACAGGTGGTGAGCTAGAAAGCATTATTTAGCTAGTTTTACAGATGGGCTCTCTCTCTCTGTCTCTCTCTCTCTCTCTCTGTCTCTCTCTCTCTCTCTCTCTGTCTCTCTCTCTCTCTCTCTCTCTCTCTCTCTCTCTCTCTCTCTCTCTCTCTCTCTCTCTCTCTCTCTCTGAGTCTCTGTCTCTCTTTCTCCCACCCACTCTTCTATCCACACGGGATAGAAAATACATTTGAATTTTCCCTCAATGCTTCCTCACTGCTGAAGCATTTGTGTGCTTTTTTCTCTCCTTAGTTTTCTTTCTTTTTTTCCACATTTTTTGCTTTTTTTTTCTCTCTCTCTTTTTTTTTTAAAGACTCCAGTCACATCCGCAATCCCGCGGCCCTATAAGGAGCTTTCACGCTTTTTGGTTTGCTTTAGATGTTTAATACCCCCTCTCTTTTGTGTCAGGGAGCCGGAGAGGCGTTAAGAAGCGCTGATAAACCCCACTTAGATCCCTTCCTGGCCCGTCACCCTGGCCTGCCGGGCCGCTTTAGCAGGGAACTGATCTGTGACGGCCTGCCACTCAAACTGAGCACTTCTGAAGGCTGACACAATGGAGTGAGCAACACACCAGAGGGCCCGGGGGTGGGTGGGGAGGGCGGAGGCAGGGAGGGTGAGGAGGAGGGAGAGGAGGCCAAGAGGTGCCCTAAAAGAAGGCTAGAGGAGGGGCCAAAGTGTATCTCCTTCTTATCCTTCTCCTTTCTTTCAATGTATGCAATTTCTCCCTCCCTATCCTTGCTGCTCGCGACTGTAGAGCTCACTCATTTTTTTTACGTGCCTCTGTGTTTGTTTCAATGTTCATCTTCTAGTTGCTGTAACACACACACACATACATACACACACACACACACACACACACACACACTCCCTCTCCTCTGTCTTTTTCCTCTCTGTGGTCAGGGCTATCAGCCTGGCAGCCAGAGATGAGAGATTGAATGAAGAGGCAGAGAGTAGATGGGTAGGGGTGGAGGGTGACGGGGGGTTGAGGTCCAGATAGGGATCAGCGGTGCATCAGGGTCTGGGTGCCGGTTGGTCATGTGGCGCGTTCACTGCTGCGTGGCATCATGGGTCCAGCCAGGGCCAGGCCGGGGCCGACAGAGCCTCAGGAGGCTCAGCGCTGTGATTGACAGGCGGGGGGGGGGGGGGGGGGGGGGCATGCGGCCACTGCCACTGCCATCGCCATCACTTTCCCAGGGGGCCGTGGGTGGGTAGCGAAGCCCAAAATGTCAGCGCTGATATCTGTGCGACTCGGCTCGTATCACACTGCTGCAGCTGCCTGCCATTCGCCGCATCCACTCATTCATATAGAGACATGGGAGTATTATGTGCACTCACACACACACACACACACACTTTCTGTCTCACCACCTTCCTCAATCATTCACTTCTTTTCTATAGAGCTACATTTGTGCACACACACATACAGTGTATTCTTCATGGGATGTCGGCAAACACACATTCACGCACGCACTTTTACTCCCTCCATCTTACTGTCTTTCTTCTCCTCCTCCTCCACGCATTCACATTGTGTCTCTGTCAGTTCTACCTCAGCCGTTCAATCATGCAAGTGTTCCACGGCTCTTTTCTTCCTCACTGCTGGAAAACAATTTTTCCAAATAAGGTTTATTTTTTTCATAGTCCTGCCTTTGTCTCTTTTCACTGATCTCAAACGTCATTGGCTCGATCAGTCTCCCTTTCTATTTAACCAGGCTTTTATTTTGAAGGGAGAAATATCAGCATCTTTTGCATTTCACACTGAAGTTACACCACTATACTTAGTATTACAGCATGTACTAGGCAGCCACTGAAATAAGCTCTGTTCAGAAAATGTGCGCTTCTGTTTGGTGATGTCATTTGCAGTGCATTGTGTGTGCTATGTAGGCTTATCTGTACTTTTTATCTGTATGTGTGTGTGTGTGTGTGTATGTGCTGCCTATATGTCACAGCTGGATGATGAATGCGCCGACAGTGGAGGGGTCAGTGTCACAGACAGTGTGGTCAATTGCCCCTCGTCCCCTGAGTTTAACCTTGAGCAACACTCCCTAACGAGTCTCAATCTGCCATTAAGGCCCACACCCACAGACACAGACACGCACACACACACACACATTCCCCAGTGAGCGTGTGCCATTAGTAGCTGGCAGGGCCTGGTTTGACAGAGAGCGATTAGCTCCCTATCATGTGTATTGATCACCGTGTCCTGGCTGCTCCTCCAGAGGAGGGGCTGGAGGGGTTTTACAAGGTAGTTGTGTACACACACACACACACACACACACACACACACACACACACACACACACACACACACAGTCACATCCTTGTTGCCTGTGTGTATGTCTTTGTTTAGTTAAAGGAAATTTAGATACATACGGGGGGGGGGGTTGAGCGTATTACAGTATTGCATGTTGCATCATGAATTCTGATTACATTTGAAGAAAAATACCAGTTCTTGTAGTTGCAGTTATGATCAGCCTAATATAAACACCAATGTGAGTACATTAGCAGAACTGTATACTGTATGTATCACATGTACTTCCTGTCTGAGGTGTTCTGTGTTTAATATCACACATGAAGTGTTCTTAGGTCTATCAGCCCCCCTTACCCTACCCCCGTCTTCCTTGGGTAGTTTAGACCAGCTCTTGTTAATTGAGTCTAATTGAAGAACATGAAGGGGGAATAAAGCAAGCAGGCTTTTAGGACATAAAAGACTGCAGCCGCCTCTCAATAGTATTTATTTTCAACCTCTTCCACTCTGATTTAAGTGTAAGAGGACAATAGTGGCCTGACACTGATATGTGTGTTTTTGTGTGAGCGTGTGTCTCTGTGATCTGTTGTTTGATTTAGTGCGCCCACCTTCACAAGGACCAGCCTCTTATCAGATCAAAGCTGCAAGCAGAGGCCTATGAAAGAAATTGTGTGTGTGTGTGTGTGTGTGTGTGTGTGTGTGTGTGTGTGTGTGTGTGTCCGTACATGTGCGTGTGCTTGTGTGCTGTGGAGGACAGAGGTGTAGGTGAGGCCGGGGGTGTTTTCGTTGCTTTTAACCCAGGACAATGGAACTGCAAAGGAAAGAGCGAGCGAGTCCTCTTTGAACTAATGAAGAGGAAACCTTTTACTCTCCTCCATAAAGATACCCAACTCTCCCTGCGCTATGGATTTTCCCTCTCTTTCAAAGTGGAATGAAACAGAATACAGCAAAATATTTCATTTTCTCCGCGCTTCTCACTGATGTACTTTTATCGTCATTAATCCACAATCCGAGACAAATAGCCAAAATAAGACTTCAGAAATGGCTGAAGATTGTGAGAGCTGTAGTACATGAGCATCTGTTGAGTAAGCAAAGGTGTGGACACTAAACTTTTCAAAGGGAAGTGAATGCAACAGACTAAAAGTTAAATGTCTAATATTTTAAAGTAATACATTACTACTGTGTTATGATTTCCAGGTTCACTGGGTGCAGAGGCAGCACAGTCATTATAGAGACAAGAGGGTTCCTGTGTCAGGACTGGACCACAGGACCACTCACAGTAAGTTTTCAGTTAACATGCTTCTTTCCAGTGACACATCACCGTGTCAGGTATTTAAAGAGGAACTTAGCACCAACTGAAAGTCTTGTTTTTGCTGACCTCCGGTGGGTTAAAGCCCCTGCAAACAAAAGTATTTTCCTCTAACATTAATTATTCACCACACAAAAAAAAGCCTAAATTAAAGTTCAGAAAGGAAGAACCTCGTCATTCATTAACTTAACTTGGTTAATTTGCTTCATCTGGACAATGTGGGTGTGCTTTCATTTCAGTTTGATTGACAGTGGCCTGGCAACATAAACAAACGCCTTCACAGCTATTTCTGAATTTCTTTTTCCCTAAAACCTCTTTAATCAAAAACAAATTTCCATATTATCATAACCAGAGTGTTAAAGGTCAAGTGTGTGTGATTTAGGAGGATTTGGTGGCATCTATCAGTGAGGACCGCAGACTGCAACCAGCTGAAACTTCCTCTGGTTAGAATTCCTTCAGTATTTATTGTTCAGTGTTTTTCCGATGCAGAGGGGCTTCTAACTACAGTGGTTGATACAAAAATGCGAATGGCCCTATGTAGAGCCAGTGTTGGGTTTGTCTGGTCTGGGTTACTGTAGAAACATGGTAGATATCTGCAGACAAGGACCCGCTCCGCATGTAGATGCGTATAAATGGTTCATTCTATGGTAAAGAAAACACAATGATTCTTATTTTCAGGTGACTATACACTAAAGAAAACATACTTATTGTATTATATTCTATTCCTGCCAATATATCTCCCTAAATCCTACACACTGGACCTTTAAAACAGTCTAAATAGAGGTGCAATCAAGTAGTATCAACCGACATAAAAAAAAAAAGAAAGAAAGAAAGGACAAGCTCACTAAAATATTGCTTTGCATAGAAGTACTTGAGTGCCTCCCAGCACAGAGAAATAGCACATGAAATATCAAGAACTGCTCTATTTCCGGCAGAAAATTGTGTGTTCATGTAGGACCCCATCATACATATTATAAGAAGCTGATTGAAAAAATAAGGGTTACCTTCTCACCTTGCTACACTGATGTAGAGGTGTACCCCAGGGTGTGTTCGTATACTATGAATTCATAGTGTGCGGACACACAGATGAAAAACTAAAAACGTGACAAAACTGAAGATCTAGTGAGTAAATTCCCATGTTTTCACAGCCTTAAGATACTTCAAGTAAATACATTGTGCTTTCCCCAGGATTTGGATAGCTACAGCCCAAGTGTAACCTAACAAAATTAGTTTGCAGTGGAGGCAACACCAGCAGAGCTTTTGAGCAATTCCACTGTGTTATCTGCTGCGGTAAATCTGCAATATTTGTTTTCCTGTTATCACATATTTACCAGGTAATACCTACCAACACCACCACCAACACTGTCAACACAAATTTTACTTTCTCATTAGTCTGTTGTGTCTGGCTGTGTGAAGTGCATTTTGTCGTACTCAGTTTTGTTGAGTACAATTCTTGATATCGCACAAAGAATACTTTTTGATTTTGACCTCTTCAGTTTGTAATGGTTTGTTCAACTTGTCTAGCAATTATTTCAGACACATAACAGAATTAATGGCTACAGTGACAACTAACCTATTACAAAGTCTCAACTGCACAATTAAATATCCATAAAGAATAATTACACTTAATGTAAGTATTCACACTTAACACATTTTTTTTTCAATAATATACTTTAGTATTTCTGACAAGTCACTGATCCTCAGAATAGTCTTGTGCAAATGTGTGTCATTGTAATTGTCTCATGATCACATTACATTCAGTTGTATACATTTAAAACAGGAAAGCATATGACCAAATGTTGCAAAAAGAGTTGTAAAGATGACATTGCTCACTTGTGGCTGTTGTTTTGGCATGATGCTATACTTTTAAACTGTAACATCATGTTTCCTATATTAGTTGTCATGAATAACACACTGAATTCTTTTTCATCCCATACTAAGTTTACCAAAGTAAAAGTCTACATCCTAAAATTAGAGGTGGCGTTCATGTCAAGTTTGGTTTTAGAATTGTATCAGAAAGCATTTGGTATGTAGAGTTAAAGAAATAACTGAGGTGTATATAAACACAGCTGTAAATGTTTACAGTATTTGGTTTATCCATGTACGTAAGTTGGGCTGCACGATATGGAGAAAATGAAATATCACGATACTTTTGACCAAATACCTTGACGTCGATATTGCAACAATATTGTAGGGCTGACTATTGGTGCTTTCAAAAAAACATTTACACAATGAGATTATCAGTAATGTGGGTATAATGACTAAGTGGGAAAAGGCAAATAATAGAACAGCAAGAACAATCTGGTAAGTTCAGAATATTTCCTCACTCTGCCAGTGCCACCTTTAAAACCAGGAAAAGACATCACTTACGATATTACCATATCAAAAATATAAGACGATATCTAGTCTCATATCATGATTTTGCTGTAATATTGATATATTACCCAGCCCTAAATGTAAGAGCATATGGCTTTCTTGAATATGTGTGTTTGCTACATATGTTTTCCTAAATGCCTTTGAGATATCATTTTTGACCTTTATGATGACGAACCTCGCTGATGAAACCAGTATAACAACTGCAGCTGTTTCATGTCTGTTGTTAATATTAACATCATACATATATATGTATACCTTTAAGTCCAGCCATATGTGTATTATTGTGTATTATGCGTTATCGTGTGTGTGTGTGTGTGTGTGTGTGTGTGTGTGTGTGTGTGTGTGTGTGTGTGTGTGCATTGGGAAATGGTGGGTGTGTTTGCACAAGAATGTATTGGCTCACGTCCTGCTGCGGTGCTGTCTCTCTCACTCTCTCATCATCCTCACAGTGTCGCTCAGCCTCTGCTCTGATAGATGATATAAAGGCGAGTTAGAGAGAGAGAAAGATGAAAAAGCAAGGACGTGGTGGATGAACAGTGCAGTTGCATGTGCATTCGCATACAGGAGAAAAAGAAAGTGTACTTGTATGTTTTGACCAATGTGAACTTTTCAAGTCTAATGCTTCTTACTAGTATTTTTTAGATTGAAGCTGCCAATGTTCAATACCGTGTGCCAGTGTTGAATATCTCAAATATGATCATTTCCATGCCAAACACAGTTTCTTGGCAGTGTGAAAAAGCCTCATTATGGACTCCTAGCTCTGTTAAAGCACAGGATACAATTAGTAAGACCAGTATTGGTACCATGGGTGTAACATGTTAATTAGTTAGCTTTGGAGGTGGTGGTATAGGCAGATTTTTTTTTTACCTTTGGAAAGAACCATGCTAGCTGTTTTTCCCTGTCTCTAGTCTTTATGCTATTCTAATTATCCCCCTGGCTTTAGCTACGTAGATGATTCACAGACTTGAGGCTGGTATAGACCTTCTCGTCTCAATCGCGGCAATCAAGAAAGAAAAGGAATGAAATGATGACTTATTTATTTTATTTATTGGCCTTTCCAAGGTGTACTCAGGCTAATCAGTTTGGATAGTGTCTTGGGTCTGTGTGTGAATCTAAAACCTGAATGGATCAGAGGGAAAGAGAGTGTTGTCTGTATTATTAGTAATAATTATGCTATTAAATGATGATGATTTTTAAAAGTCCAAGTCCTTTGATATTAGATATTTGCCAGTCTGATCTGATACTTGTGCTTACCAACTATTGATTGAATATGTATCAGACACATTGACAGATATATATTTAATCATAACAGACTTTGGTACACCTAATCTCAAATGAATACTCGAGGTCCTCCTTCAGACTTATTACGTTGATGAGCTTTAATTATAGATATGACTGAAAGTTTTACTGGAAGAAGCGACATAATGTCAACAGCCAGAGAGAAGATGCATATCTTACTCTGTTGGACTTGTCGGACAACAGAAACATTAGGTCCACCTCTTGTACAGTGGTATTACAGAGTGGACTTAACTCCTTCACATAAGATCTTCGTCTGACTACAGTCAAAACAACAGACAAGTTTTATTTTGTTCTGCCATCAAGTCACTCATGGTATATACGTTAATTAGTGCAAGCTGATACAATCTGCCACCCCATTCACACACTTAGATTGTGCTCACACTGTAGGCTATAGGCACTGTAGACCAGTGCTGCATCATTAGCAGGCTGTGGGGGACACAGTAGGGTATAGTTAAGAAAGGACCTGCATTTGATCTGCGTTATTTTAGCTGATATGGATCTTTCTTAAATACAACCCAAATGACCCTGATCCTACCAATTTTTAGGATCAGCCTAGCTAGGACATCTCTAATTTAAAGAATACAAACAAATTATTTTTGGATATTAGTCCTTTATCTCTGCTTTTTTTGACCACATCTGATGTTAATTAAAAACACATCATGGTGCTGCTGGTATCGGTGTTCCCTCTCCGTCTGTTCTTACACTTTGGGTCGGATCTAATTATCCCTGGGTCTGATATCGATTTGGGTAACTGTAAACCATAATATATTCACACTGATGCTGTTGTGAAAGATATAGCAAATATAATTGTTTGTGTTTCCAGAGACCCAAGTTTGGCTAACTAATGTTGGCACATAGATTTTGGTCTACTCTATCGCTCTTGTTGGAAACCAGAGAACTCTGAAACAATGGATCTAAATGAGATCAGAGACTGCTCCTGCCCAAGTTACTCGTTTGTGTCCAGTATTGGATGGTAACTAGTTACATCTAACAGAAGTATGCAATTACATTAAATGGTAAATGGACCTGCATTTGTATAGCGCCTTTCTAGTCATCCGACCACTCAAAGCGCTTTTTACAGTATGAGTCACATTCACCAATTTACACACACACAGCCATCAGGAGCAACTTGGGGTTCAGTATCTTGCTCAAGGACACTTCAGCATGCACACTGGAGGGGCCGGGGATCGAACCACTGATCTTCCGTTTGTTGGACGACCTGCTCTACCTCTGAGCCACAGCCGCCCTAAAATAAAAAAACAAACAAAATAAATGTAATTGTAATCAGCCACATT